CTACCTGGGAAGCAACATCAGCGCTGAGATAGACGTTCTGCCCGCATATCAAAAGCCGGGGGGGGGGGGGGGGATTCGCATCTCGAGAAAGATGTGGAAACCATTAAAAGATAGCATCAACACCAAGTTAATGGTGTTCTAGAAGTCCTTCTGTATTATGCAGAATCATTGAAGCTGATTGAAGTAATCAATAGCATAGATGTCTTCCAGATTATAATGTCTTTGAAGGAATTGCGTATCTTTTAGCCAAGAACCATCACTAATGAAGAACTACTTGATAGGAGAACAAACATAAAACAAGAAGAGAGGAGATGGAGGTACATAGGCCATAGGCCATGAATTTCTTTGACTCTTCTCCAAATAGTTGAATTCCATTCTGATATAAATTTTAAACAATTTAAAAAAAATCTTTCACGTGTTTGAGAATTATGGCATTATCATCATCTTTGCCAACCATTATGATGCAGTGAAGACACTTAAACTCTGAAAGTCTTGAAGGCTTTTTTGGCTCAGGAACCATTTAAAACTTTTTTTCCCTTATCAGAGTAAATACATTCTTTATGTACAATTTAAGTAGTGAAATCAATTTTGAAAGCCAATAAACATTTCAACGAAAACACTGAAACCCCTTCTTACTAAATACATACATGTATTTACTAGTTAATAAATGACAGTGTGCTTGTTTAGCTAGTGATAGATACAATTTTCTGACACTGCAAAAAGTATTTAAGTGACATAAATTTAAAAAAAATACCATTATAATGACTTGTAGGACTGGCATTGATCGTTACACTGCAAATAAGGTTGAGTCATTCAACTAATTTTTTGGGGAAAGAAAATGGTTCGCTAGGAGTGTAGAAAGGGGATTGACAAAGTATATACTTGTATTTGTTGAAAAAGATACCTAAAGGGTCTTTCTGGGTCTGTTTATCAATTTAGGGTTCGTCACATCTTCATTCACATTTGGACGTTTTACTGACTCGAGTTAATAAATAGATTATACAAAACTATACAAAACAGCTTTTCCACCATCAACTCCCCCAATTTATTTAGCAATATTTAAAATCATCTGCAAATGGTGATAATGTCCCTCAACTCGTTCGGTACGCGATAGTATGTTTTGTTACCATTAATTATGCTACTGACAAATACTAGTAAGATGATGTCCAAAGTCAACAAATTTGCAAATGTATGATCATTAAAATTGTTTGCAAATATCACCTTTATTTCATTTTGCATTGAATTTTGCTTGACGTATGACATTGTTTAATACTTATTTTGACTATGGATTATTTTATTAATCTGTTCGATATAGTACGGACAAACACCACGTCACCTTGACTGACCTCTACCACCACGACTCCTGTTGTACTTCTAACGTTTGAAGCACCCTTGCCTTCTGAGAGCATGGTCCCAACAGCATTCGAGTTGACAATAATCTGAGAACATATATAGCCACCCCATTTACAATAAAGGTTCCATGTAAACACATACACAGCATGATGTGGAGCAGTGAATATTCCGGAATGTGGATTATAGTGATTGCCAACATTTGTCACTATTCTGTCGAACTTAATTGTGTGGTCTTTTGTTATATCGGTCTCGAATGTAGACACATAGGCAGAGAATGCTACACTGTGTGCGAATAGAGGCGTTGCTGTCTGGACATCTGAAAGGTGATGAAAAATGAAGTTTTCTGGAAACCTGGTGCTAAATGCAGCATTCAAAGCACACATCTATATGAATGCTATGAATGAACCTAAAAGGCTTAAAAGGGATCTTTACGCTCAGCGAAGATATATCACTCAAGTTGTGCTATGTAAAACTGAACCAGTTCTGATTGATTATTGTTGTTTTACGCTGAGTCAGCAATATACCAGTCATATTTCGGTGGTTCAAAATGCTGAAACAGTCACTCTATCACGAATTAGGTTGATAAGTCAGATGCAGTTCCTGAAGTTTGCGTCAAATGAAACATCCAAAAAATGTTCAAATTGTTTAAGTATAGTTTCGATGCGAAAAGTCAGGAACTCGCCGAAGTCTATGGACGGAGAAGGATGGATGGATAGACGGACAAATAGATTCCAGTATTTCTTGCAACAATTTAGTTGCAGAGAATATACTACATCGTGAAGGAAAAGTCAGAATGCCAATGCACAAAATATTATACTAAAGACAATCAAAGCCTGTGGATAGATCGCATGATTGTAAACGTTATTTGAAATCAAGATAAAACTAGAAGATCTGGTAGTACAGTTCTCACCTGTCAAAAGACGTTTCTCATTAGATGAATTATGTGTCTTCTTCATGAATTGATTTGTTTTATGAGAGGACTTGAGATTGATTTGTTGGTTTTTTCTTCTCATTCATTGTAAAATTCTGTTGTGTCTTCAAGAATTTTTCGTCCTTTGTGATAGAACTTGGTGAAGAGATTTGAACCGGATTTTCTTTTAACAAAACTGTTGGACCTGTAGAGGTCTTGATATTTTTGCCAAACTTTGCGTTTATATCTCTTTTCTTCTCAGATATTATTTCAGAATAATATAGCACTTCCTCAAGTTGTACAACTTTTCTTTCCAAGCCTTACCTTTCTTTTTCGAGCTGCGTTTCAAAAATTTTCTGTATTCGACTTTTTATTTTGTTCTCTGTATGGTTTTTGTCTTATATTCTCAACTTGAGCATCTCAAGATGATTTTTTGAACAAGTCTTTCCTAGCATGTTTCTGCAAAAAAAAAAAAAAAATTGAACCTGAAACCCCCAAACCTAAAAATTAATTACGAATCTGTCTAAATTTTTCATCAGAAGAAAGGCAGCAATAGATTTCTCTTGCAGTGACATGCAAGCAAATCAAAGGTCTTTTCCTAATAATGGATTGGTAATAACAGTATGAGTACGAAGTCCTAAATATATGCAACCTTAACTCTTAACCTATATTAATATAAAGATCAGTATTCTAGGAAATAAAGGGAGCGCATTACTTTCTTCAAACATTACAGAGTGACTATGAATTATTTATATGACAATCTACATGAAATTCGTTTGATCCCACTGAATGTTCTTTTCTCCATAAATGAAATTGCCATAAAATTATGTAGATAATGATCTTTCTCAGTAAAGAGCTAGATTGCAAGACAGAGTCATTTTCCCCCTCAAACCCCAAGTATGACCTAAAAGTGTAGCAGTAATGTTCTGGTCAAGTTTTAATTAAAAATGTGAGCAATTTGAATAAAAATATTTGTTAGAGTAATGAAAATTTGAAAATAGAGAGAGAGTAAACACTTCAATCCTTTATCAGCTCTCATGGACGATCTTCAAAAAACAAACAAACAAGCTATTTATTTATTTTTGTTGTTGTTGTTGTTGTTCGAAAGTTTAAGCTGTGATTTTCAGTATGAAGATGAAGATGAAGTTTATTTAATAACAATTCTAAATTAATCAGACTTTCTCCCAGACATTCTTTTTGGTAATAATAATGAATTTTAAATTAGGCATTATTGTAATCATCTATTTAAGACTTCACTCCGAATCTGAATGATAACCACTTCGGTCAGATGTACCTGGAGCCATCATATCTCTACCATTCTTTTGATTCACTACTACCTTATATAAAAAAAAAACCAGGAAGGTCTTCATCACATTCGCACCAAACTTCACACTGTCCTTTTGAAAGTTTTAAATAGTCTATTTGAAAAAAGTTATGGGAAGTCCATATTTGGATTCTTCGACACCAGAATACCATCTCGGATCTGTGATTATGGATATTGCAAATCATAGGCTTTTTAGACCGCCACGTTCTTACGGAACACAATACTGCTAAAACAACCCGTTTGTTCTTTAAATTTCAATTTGCCAACAAAGGATTTGACGCAGTTAATTTAAGTAATATTCTTAATCACAATCTTTTATCCCACCATATTTCAAGTTGAAGTCCACACCTTATATTTCTTACAAATATACATCGACTATTGCTTTTAAAACTTTTTAATTACAAAAACTCAACAGTTCCTTGCAGAACTTTTCTTTCGTCAACTTTCCTTAATTACATGTAGCAATATACGATTATCACCTGCAGGAGTTTATGTCTGCCAGTTGATTTGATACGCAAGAGCATGCTCTACGTACGAACGATTTCTAAGATTAGTCAAGCTATTGGCAGATAAGTTGAAGAAACAAGCATATCAACGGTCTCGTGTAGGCCATCTTTCGAAAAATGTTTGTATTACCCTCTCTCGCCTGACAGGCTAAAAATGGCCGGACTATTAACTCTTTTTAACCTCCAGGAAAGTTAACGATTTTTTTTTATTCCGAAATTTTCTCATCCCGTCAACAAGTATTTTAATTTTATTAATACCTTTGATTTTAATATACTTTGAACATTAAGCATTGATGCTGAAATTTTCTGGGAAAGAATTTTTTTTTCTCACCTGCCTACCTACCCAATTTTTTTAACCCTGAGTCGGGTGAGGGCAAACAAACATTATTGTAAAGATGACCATAAATCCAACATTTTGCAAGCTATATGGTCCATACAATGAAATTAGAGGTCTGTGTTTGCTCTACTCAAAATTTTTATTGTTTTAACAGACTTTTGAGCTTGGCAATTGTTCGTTATCTTCATATTTCATTTAGTTTTAGACTAGCTTCAATGTGATTTATATCTCGACTTTTGTCAGACGGAAATACTGAATCCACCAAGTTTTGCTGAAAATCTATCTTCCAATATAAAACACAACAAAATAAAGGATGCAATTTTATTAGGAAAAGTAAATAACAACAAAAAGTGATTTTCAAACATGCAGGTAGTTGTAACGAAAAAAAATATGATACTATTGAAGTAACCCTAAATTTTTAAATCATTTGACACATGATTATGAAAAAAATGCTCCAAAACATAAAATTTTTGTTTCCATATCAAGTCAGTTTTCAAGTCATACCAGTGTCAGCTCAAAAATGTAAAACTGGTCAAAAGAAAAGACCTTTCAAAATAAATATCACAGAAGCTTTAATGAAAGACTGCGGTTTGAGTTCACTAAGAGAATGTTCCATCACTAAATGTCCACACTCTCCACATTCAGAAGTCTCCATTGTCCAGTTAGAAGAAAGGCACAGACGCCACAAAGCAGTGAGAGTCAGAAGTGACAAGAATCTCTGGTCCATAGAAATTGTCTGCTTCCAACAGTGTAAAACTGTTAGGTAACAAGTCATCTAGTAACAGGCCTGTGTTAACCACTGGTCTGTAGTCCTCTGTGAGTGTCTGTCAAACATATTTCATAATTAATTTACTTTGTAAATCTCAGATGAAATTTGTAACATGAAAGTTAATTATCAAATGATTACATAAAAGCCCAAAATGCATTTTTTGACAGTTTTGCATATATATGCAAATTTGCAGTTAAGCACATGTAGTGCCAGGCCAAATCATTTCACATATAATTTTAACTCAACAAAATGTTTGAGCAAATTTAAAATACCTTTCTGATAGATGTTGGCTCTTTTCTGGACCCAGATTTCAATTGGCTACTTTTCGCAATGACCTTCTGGACAACACTACCAGACAAGGATTTATGCTGAAATTATTTTACACATTTTACTTAATTACTTTCATTCACAATATTTGATGTTTTATTTATACACACTGTCAAATTACATTGTTTTCTGTATGTTACCTTTTGTTCCAATGCAGACTGCTTTGATGGCACTGAAGATATTGATACAACACTTGGTGGTTCCTTATGTTTAAGGCTTGAATCCACGGTTTTTGTTGCTTTTTTGTCAGGAGTGGTAGCTTGTTTAGGAGTAGAATCAGATCTGTCCTTATCATTTCTACCAGCAGTGGTCATTTGTTTGGGTGTGGAATCAACACTTTCCTTTTTATCATCAGTAGATTCCCCATGACCCTGAAACCATCCATCACACAAATTTATACATATTTTAAAACTCATTTATTCTTCTTGACTTCTATTAAATATGTAGATTGATATCAGAAATTTATTACACCTACCTGTTTTTGTCTGTTCAGGATCCTCATAATTCTGGCAACATATGGAGGATATTCTACTGGGTCTGTTTGAATTTTGGGTGGAACAACAATGCGTTTGACTTCTTTCTAGAAAAATAAAGCACAAATCACAAATCCACACAATTAAACTTGTAAGAATCAGGATTTATTTTTAATGTTCTTTTAAATTACCTTGCCACCTTTCTGAGTGACAGAGGATTGGGCAGAATTCTGACTGTGGGTCTGGTGCAAAGTTGCTTCCATTTGATTCCCAGTGGTCTGCTGCATGGGTCTCACATCCATATTAGCCAAATTTCTACTCCCTTTTGCCACTGATCTGTTGGAAGTCAAATGTTTGCCCGTATTTATATCTGCATATTGTCCTTGAGAAACATTTTTAGGAGTCCTTTTCCTTGACTTTTTTGGTTTAGCTTTTGTTTGTGCCTCCACTGGTGCCACAAAAGTGGGTACACTCTGTGGGCTCAGACTCCATGTTTCCTGATACAAAAAAAAATTAGTTTGTTTTTGGTTGAAAATGTTACTGACTTTCAGCTTAAAAAACACACTGAAAATTATTTATAAAAAATATAATAAACTTACAAACTGAGCAGCAGAACACCTCTGGGGATAATCAGGTGATAGTCCAGTTGTTGCCACATTAGGTGTGGGTGTCACCAGAGGTGAGTATGCACTCTGGTAGTAATTACCATCCCCATAGATTGTTTGGGTTGGTAGATGAATGATCTGGTCATACACTCCTACAACTGATGGAACACTGATGATGTTGGTAGGAACTTGTAGCTCTGTTCCCTTAACCCATTCATCTGGCACAGTGATTGGAGTATAACCTTGGACCTCAAAATTTCTGGGTAAAATCTGTTTATAAAAACACAACAAAGTTATCCAAAGTTATCTAGAGTATTTTTTTTTTTACAAAATTATACATTTTACTAATTGAGTTCATTCTGTACATTTATTTCACTGTAGTTTTAAAGGGGCCTGGGCCACAGGCACTTGTTTCTGTAATAAATTTTTGACCCATAGTATAATAATATTATTATACTGTGGGTCAAAAATTTATTACAGAAACAAGTGCCTGTGGTGCCTGGGCACAGATTTTTAAATGTTGCTATAGCATTTCACATGGAAATATAATTTAAAAAAAAAACTTTATCTGGAAATTATTGAAACTACAAATTTTGGGATGTATTTGATTGACACATGCTTGCACTTTCACAAAGAAAATGTTATCCTTAATACTTAGGAAAGGTAGAAATTTTGTTGTGTATTAATGAAAAATATTAAAGCTATAATCCAGAAAACTCAGAGAAGAAAGCCAACTTGACCGGTATTGTCAGTCCGTGCTCAGTGATGTGTGCAGAGTTTAACAAATTGAACACACCCAGTGAAAAAAGAAAAAAAAAAGAAAAAAGTCATATAAATCTTAGATTTCATTGCAAAAAGTTCAGCATGAGTAATCTGGAAACTGCTTTAGGCAATATATAAATTTCCTTGGCCTTTGACCATTTGATCTAAAAAATAATAAAGACCTTCTTTGGGTCATTAGAAGTAATGGCATTTTGTTGCAAAATGCAATGTGTGCATTTCTGACCATGACCTTTCGACCTCAAAATCAAGAGTGATCTTTTTAAGCCATAGATAATTATGATATAATATTTCATTACAAAAGCTTAAGCTATCGCTATTTTCTGACCCTGACCTTTGACATTTTGACTACGAAATAAGGGTCATTCTCCAGTTATAAGGAGTTATGAATATGGTGTACACTTGCAATTCAAAAGTCCAATTAGCTCTAAGAAAACAAAATATATGATCTGGAAACCATTTCATGCAATATATGAATTTCTATCATGACCTTGACCTTTTGACCTCTAAATTAATATATTATTCAATTAATAGAGAGTTATAATATAAAAGTTTATAGCAATAGTTCAAGGATGAGATATCAAAAACTTAAGTGTTACACACAAACAGATGAACAGATAGACTGAAATTAATATCCCCCACATTTAGTGAAAGTGGGGTCAAAAAGTATGTGTTAATGAGAAAGAAATTCATTGTATGTTACTATCCAATAAAACTTCTCATATTTGAAAATGAAATAAACAGAACATTGTGTGATTGCATGTTTCTTGAACATAAGATACATGTACTTACAAGTTCATTTGCAGAAATTGGCTGTTGTAGCTCTGCCTGTGCCAAAGTCGAGTCTGTAACTTGGACAGCAAAACCATTCTGAGCTGAGGGATGAATGTTTCCCTGGCTGTTTAAGACCAGCTGTTGTACAGTAGACTGATCGTTGTATTCTGTTTGCTTTTGCAGTACAGTCTCCTGAGACTGCTGTTGGATGGACGTACATGGTAGGGTCTGTCCTGATCTCAGCACATTTAATGTCAGTTGTGGATGCACATTTGTGCAATCAGTCTACAAAAGAGGACAATTCAAAAATATCATAGATGAAATAGGTGAAGATAACGAACAGTGATCAATCTAAAAAAAAAATTACAAACAACACAAATCTGTAAACAGGGCATAAAACACAGACCACTGGAAATTTTGGAAATGGGACCAGGTGCTTGAGGGGAGTAAGCTTCCCCTGTTGAATGGTCACACCCACAGAAAGCCCTACGTATATATCATGTAGATGGGATATTCCTTAGTCTAATTTAGTATAAAAAACAAAGGCCTAACAATTGGTATGAAATACCGGTATGTCAGCTAAAATCCTACCCAATGATAGGTTGTATTTGCTATCAAGGTCATTATTACGACCACAGAATTTACAAAATGCTGACTTTAAATGAGGTTGTTGAAATCCCTCTAATATCAACTTTTGTCAGTAGCCTGTCTTGGTTTAAAAATTGATCATACTCAGAGCAAGCTTTTGAGTTGGGAGACATAAACACCATATGCAGGTGATAGTGGAATATGACTTCATAAATAAGGAAAGCTGACAATGAAAAAGTGGAAGTCATTTCGTTTGTCATACAGTTTAGTTGTTAGCTGGCCCTTATCGTCTATTATCAGTAAAACTAGATAGAGGTACTGTGGGCATACTCACAAAATCATACTTTCTGCTTCAATGCTCAAGTGCATTGTTTCTAAAAATAACCTTGAACTTGTCAAAATGACTTACTTCAAGAAAATAAGACACCCTTTGATCATGAGTAATCTTTGTTTAAAGCATGAACTATTAGAAAGATATGGACCAGACACAAATTTTATATTTACTTTTCTACCAGTGAGCCATCTTTCCATAAAGTATCAACTTCTATTTTTTCTCCAGTAGTAAGTTGTGGACACTTATTCTGGTAGTGACTTTGAACTTGCCCAAACGATTGGGTCATGGTCAGGAAATATGCTTTGGTCATAAGCAATCTTTGTATGAAATGAGCTTCCATTTCTCCATTACAAAATATGGCTAGGACAGGTTAATTCAATTTTCTAAAACGTGACCTTGAACTTGACCAAATGACCTTTGGTCAAGGTCATGACACACTCTTAGGTCATAAGCAATCTTTGCATAAGGCATGAACTTACAGTGTTTTTTCATTTGGAAATTATGGACTGGACATGAATTTTACTTTCTGCTAGTGACCTTGAAATGCCTAATTGATCTTCATTAAAGGTCATGACAGATCCTTAGATCTATACAATCTTTGTGTGAATTATGACCCAATTTTTCTACATTAAAAAGTAATGGCCCAGAAAGGATTGCATAGACAGACTGATATACCAATGAACATAGGACAATCATGATACTCCCCCCTCCCAAACTCCAGTTGCAGAGGTTTGGAGTATAACAACAGTTGCAGAGGTTTGGAGTATAATAACTAAATAAAAGCACATAAACTATAAGATGATAATATGCACATTAACCCAAATATGAATGTACCTATTGTTGTATCCCTTTCCCTGGTTGAGAAGGATACACAGTGCAATTGGTGATATAACTGATTGACCCTGAATAAAGGTCATGACATATCCTCATGTTATATGCAAGCTTTATGTCAAGTTTGAACTTCCATTGTTTCTTTGTTACAAAGTTATGGCCCAGACATGATTGCAAAGACAGATGGACAGATAGATAGATGGACAATAATGATTTCTGTACACCCCAACCCAACTTCAATTTTGTGGGGTATAATAAAATGAACTGAAAAATCAGATAAAAAGACTCTAAAATATTTATACCTTAACCTAAACTTTGTCTACATACCTGCTGTTGTATCCTTGTCCCTGGTTGAGAAGGATACACAGTGTATGAGAAATTGGTGACATTAGGGTCAACTGCTTCAGTGCTGGTGACTGAGCGACCATTAGGAAGAACTGTTGAGGTTATGAATTGTTGTATTTGTTCATTGCTCAACAAAGATTTTGCCACCTGAAAAGAGAATGCAAATAATAGTGTACATGTATTTCTTAAATTCAACTCTTATTAATGAACATTTGTATCTATATATATATTTAGGCTATGTAGGTCCCTAAAGATGAGAAGTTTTTAAAATTAACATTTACATATATTCCACGTAACTTACCCCATTTGGCACCACTCTGCCAGCTGTACAAGTGGGTCCTGTGTTTTGAAATACAGCTTGATTGACAGCTTGAATATAATGCTTTCTTGGTGGCTCAACCTGTGATAAAATGAATAATTATACAAACGGATGAGGGTTCATATTTTGCAAATCAGCCAAAATTTCAGAAAAAAATACAATAAAAAGTGAAGGGAAAAAAAATTCTGAAAATATATAGCAAAAAGTAAAAGAAATAGACCAAAAGTTGAGAGAAGATAGAAGAATATTGCAATAGAAATAGATTAGAGAAGATTAAGATTAATATTTTAAATCAACTTACTTCTTTTTTACATCAATATATATGACATATAAAACAAAACTGAGACCTCCTCAATTCCCCTGGAAGTGGTGGGTGTGGTCAAGATGTCCACTCCCAGCCTCTTGTAAGTACTTGAGGCAACTTCCGGGTTGGCATACTGAACATCCACTCTCTTCTGAAATGACATAAAATAAAATGTTTTAGCAATTCTGTTCCATCAAGTGTAAAATTTAAATACTACTTAAGGAAATGATTGTAAGCCCTGAAATCACCTGATTAATGTTATATTATGAGAAGATACGAGGGAACTTTCAACAAAATACTTAAAATGATCTATTATTTCCGGATCAAATTACACATTCAAATAGTATCAGGAGCCCCCCTCTTTTTTTTTGGGGGGGGGGGGGTGTCCAAGAATATTAATCTTTTGCTGTTTACTTTAGGAATTTTCATCTAAATTCTGATCCTCCTTTTGTTTTTTTTTTTTTGCCCTCTCCCAATAACTTAAAGTTTTCAAAGTTGGTTTTTTTTATGCTTTTCATTTTTTTTTCAGGCATATTATCCCCCCCCCCCCCAAAAAAAAAATTTCCTCAGTTCAAAAATGATGTTAGTGTCCTCACTGTTAGTTACAGACAATGGATTTTTTGCTTTGAAAAACTATTTTAAAAATGGAAAATATGTACTTGAATATATCATATAGAATAAGAAGTAAAGATCCAGAGATGCAAAAGTAAACAATAGGCCAATGGACCACAATGCTCAACTGAGTAACTTTGGCCATGCTCTTCTTCACCTGATTTCCCTCCTTGTAATACCTATTGTGGCCTCCCCCAAGGGGTCATGATTTGAATAATTTTGAATCTACACAACCCCAGGATGCTTCCACTCAAGTTTCAGTTTCTTGGCCCAGTGGTTCTTGAGAAGAAGATTTTTAAAGATTTTGCCTATATATTTCAATGTAAAACTTTGATTCCCTAATGTGGCCCCGTCCTACACCCAGGGGTCATGAATCGAGCAAATTAAAATTTACACTACCCCAGGATGCTTCCACATAAGTTTCAGCTTTTCTAGCCCCGAGATTCTTGAGAAGAAGATTTTAAAAGATTTTTTCCTTTACATCTCAATGTAAAAATTGTATTCTCTATTGTAGTCCCACCCTACCCCCAGGGACCATGATTTGAACAATTTTGAATCTACACACCCCAGGATGCTTCCACATAAGTTTCAGCTTTTCTGGCCCAGTGGTTCTTGAGAAAAAGATTTTTAAAGATATTTTCTACATATTTCAATGTAAAACTTGGTTCCCTACTGTGGCCCAGCCCTGCCCCCGGGGAGCATGATCTGAACAATTTTGAATCTATGCACCCCAGGATGCTTCCACATAAGTTTCAACTTTTCTGGCCCAGTGGTTCTTGAGAAGATTTTTTAATGATATTTTCTACATATTTCAATGTAAAACTTGGTTCCCTACTGTGGCCCAGCCCTGCCCCCGAGAGTCATGATTTGAACAATTTAGAATCTTCACTACCCCAGGATGCTTGAATGCTTCCACATTAGTTTCAGCTTTTCTGGCTCAGTGGTTCTTGACAAGAAGATTTTTTAATGACCCAACCCTATCTTAATTTTGTCTTTTTCTTGATTATCAAGCCCCCTTTGAAGGGGGCTTGGCCCTTTATTTTAACAATTTAAACTCCCCTTTACCTAAGGATGCTTTGTATATGTGTACTATTTTAAACAGCAAATTGCCAAAAAATCGTTGATTTTTTTGTTTTTATTTTTTTATATTTAGACATACATAATAAAACACAAAAACAACCTGGAAAAAAGCGCCTGTGATTTCAGCTAGGCCCTTAAGGTCTTTTGCTTCAAGTTCGAGATTTTAGATTCCTCCTTAGCAACAGACACCCTAAACTTTTCCTCACAAAAGCAAATAAATATGTCTATTACCCTCTTATAGCTCTGTCCGTTCATTTCTGTAACTGTATTGACTGTATGTTATCAAATATTTCAGAAAATCTTCGCTCTGCGAAAATCACGTCTTATCTCAACAACTGATGCTGAAACAATGAGCTGTATCCAAAACACATCACACAGCCTAGCAATCATGACGTCATCACCAAAACGACAACCAATGAAAAAAGGACTAAAATATGATCCTAATTTTAGCATTCGGAATTTCCTCGGAAGTAATTCCCTTCAGGAAGGAAAAAGTGAAATGAAACCCTGTAAAAAAAATTCTAAAAACATACATCTTTGATAATCTAACCGGGCTACATGAAGGAAGCATAACTGGACATCTGTGAATAAAATGTTCCCTTGTAAAGTCCGCCTATTGTCAATCTAAAAAATAAACATAAACAGAT